ACATTTGAGACGGAGAACATACCAGATGCCAATGGACTATGTATAAATGAATGATAAATTACTCTTTTTCATAAGATCTCAAAACCCTTCAGCATTAATTTCACTGTTTTATGTGCTCATGAGAAATAGAAGCACTGAATCAGTGTTTTTTACTCTAGTGATGGAATGGCCAAACTCCCTAATAGTCATGCCAGAAATCCCATCCAAGGACTGAGGAATCTGGATGCAGAGATTCACGGCTAGACTCTGGGTGGAGCTCTGGGAGTCCAATTAGCGAGAAAGAGAAGGGATTATATGTGGGAGAATTGTTGAAACCAAGGTTGGATAAAGCACAGGGACAAATAGCCAAACGAATGGAAACACATGAACTATGAACCAAAGGCTGAGGGACCCCCAACTGGATCAGGCACTCTGAATAGATCTCTGAAGTATTCAAAGGCCACCTGGCCAAACATCCTAATTGTCATGCTAGAAACCCCATCCAATGACTGAGGGAACCGGGTGCAGAGATCCAAGGTCAGGCCCCAGGTGGAGCTCCAGGATTCCATTTGGTGAGAAAGAGGAGGGTTTGTATGAGCAAGAATTGTTGAGACCAAGGTTGGAAAAAGCACAGGGACAAATATACAAATGAAAGGAAACACATGAACTATGAACCAATAGGAGCCCCCTCAGGATAAATAAGACAGTTGATTAGCTTGATCTGCTTGGGAGGCATTCAGACAGTGGGACAGGGTCCTGTCCTCAGTGCATGAACTGGCTGTTTGAAACCTGGGGCTTATACAGGGACACTTGGCTCAGCCTGGGAGGAGGGGACTGGACCTGCCTGGACTGAATCTTCCAGGTTGAACTCAATCCTCGGGGGAGTCTTTGCCCTGGAGGAGATGGGAATGGAGGGTGGGCTGGGGTAAAGGCAGGTTGCAGGGTGGGTGGGAGGGGGAACAACAAGGGAATCCGAGGCTGATATGTAAAATTAAATTTAATAAATAATTTTTAAAAAAGAAACTAACACTTTGAATTGAAATATAGGGCAGATTAAAAAAAAGTGACTGTCCTTCATTAAATAAGTCTATTTAACAGATAAAATAATGCTGTGAAAAGTGCTATCAAATTCCTTTAGTAAAAGAGAAAAATCCATTTTTACTCTGTAACTACCATATTCAGCAGTTTGGGAAATGAGCAATTTCTTGCATGGCAAAATCCAGGAAACACACATCCCAAAACAGCATTGTTCCATATTTTTTGTTATTTTTGATTACTTGCTTGCTATTAAGTCTATAAATTCACCTGATTAGAAGCAACGTACAAGAATCCACACTAAAGATAAAGATAACAACAGCACATTGTATCATATGTATCACACTTTGTCTTAGATATGTGACCTTTATGAAATGAAATTCTCTTAACTCAGAATTGCCTGTCCTAATAGTTTAATTATTTAATTAAAATCATTCCATTTTTCTACCTTTCTTTCAGAAATATAACTCAGTACTGGATTATATAACAAACAAGTTTACTGTCTTAATTATTTCACTGTTTCATAAAATTACAGTTGATTTTTCCATCATTATTGGTAATACACAGTTTTTACAACTTCTTTCATATAGAACTTTATAATCATAGTTGCCCTGTCTTCCTGCTTCTGTCCTTCCATCCTCATGAGTTCATCTTGAGTTATAATTGCAAAAATGAATTGTTCTGTTCTTTTTGGATTCTTTAAAGTACCTATAATTATTATATCATTTATTCTTATATTTGTGTTTACTACTCTAAAGCTACAAGGTAAAAATAGAGACCATTATTCAAAAGAGCTCTAACAATTTTCCCAACAGATGGGTGGTGATTCCTCTCTTATATTTTCATGATTTTTTAAAGATTTCCATTGTGTGTGTTGCATAAACACCTTAACTATAACAGTTCTATGCCTAGAAACTAATGTGGAATCAAATAATTGCATGAAGCATAAATGCACAGTTAAAAGAACAATTGAATTTGTGATGAGTTAATGACTTACAACTGATCCAAAATAACAAATAAGTAATAAACAAGTAACATTTTTTTGTTTATGGTCATCAAAATAAATACCGTTGTACTCCTAACCCAAAATCTCTACCAAACTTTATGGGACTTCAAATTTATGGGACTCCTAGCAGTGGGATCAGGACCTGCTACTTGACATGGCCTTTGGGAACCTATTCCCAATTTTGAGTTGCCTTGCCCAGCCTTGATACAGGGGTAACATCTTCATCCTGCCTCAACTTGATATGCCGTGCTTTGTTGATGCCCATGGGAGTCCCGCCACTTTCTAATGGAGAAGGAAGAGGCTTGGCAAGGTGCTAGAAGGGTGGTAGAAGGAGGGGAAAGGAGGAGAGGAGGGAGGGGAAACTGTGCTCAGGATGTAAAATAAATGAAATAATTTAGTTAATAAATAAAAATATAATATAAAATAAAAATCTAAAAAAAAATATTTACTCGCATGATTTTAATAAAATGATATGTACTCTTTAATGTAGAAAAAGGTGAGAGATGAATGAAATGATTATTTCTAATTTCCATTAGAAACTCATGGTATTTTTACTGTGCTCAAAAAATATAAAGTGATTGTGTGGTAGCTAATCTCAGTTGTAGATATGAAATACCTAGGAAACGGGAACTCAGCTGAAAAAATTGTCACATTAACACAATGACATGCCTGTGAGGCATTTGGTTCATTGCTAATTAATGTTGGAGATCTGAGCCCATTGTGAGTTGTAACATCAGTAGGCTGGTGGACCTGGGCTACATGAGAAAAGTAGCTGAAATGAGCAGGGAGCAAGCTAGAAAGCAGTATCCTTCTGAGGTTTCTGCATCAAGCTACTGCTCTCAGTTCTTGCCTTGATTTCCCCTGATGATGGGCTGTAACCAATAAGCTATAATATAAACCCCCTCCTTCCTCAGTTGCTTGTGGGAAGTGTTTTATTGCAGTATCAAAGAAGCAAACTAGAAAAGATTGTAACTTCAGAGTCTAATGCCCAGAATTGTTTGCAAGCTCACTGACATAAGGCACCTGTTGTGATGATGCTCTGATGTGGTATTGATGAATGCCTTAAACTGAACCAACAAAAGCTGATTTTATTATTTAGAAAGAGTAGTGTTGCCACAAAAGTGTGCAGGATGGATTTTCTCATCCTTGCTATTTAGCAAGACGATGATGAGACTTAGTGCAGCTGTCAAGGCAAGTGCAATGATGAATAACTTCTCAACACTGAGGAGGAAGCAGCAGGTTCTGTGGGGAATCAGGCAGCCCTAAGGAACTCTGTGAAAGCTCTCAGAAACAGGGGTCTCTTCTCAGAAAATATTACACTACTATCTGGAGATGTAGTTCTACAGAGTTAGCACTTCTGAAGCAGTTGGGGAACGGATTTGAAAATTTCTCAGCAACATCTGCTCTGCTCATCATATTGACCTATCACAAATCACCAGTTTGTCGTTCAAAGAGAGAAATCAAACCTCTGGCTTACATTTGAGAGCCATTTTTACTTGAGTCGTCCATGCCTTTAAAAAGCTTCATTCCACAACAAAGCATTGTATTCGTTCTTAACACAGTTCTGTGAGAGTTTTTTTTTTTAATATATGAAGAAAAAGAATTACTTCTTATAGGAATTACCCCCAAATATAATATACTGTCCTCATAGTTACTGCTATTGAAGGAAAAAGTTTAAAGATGGAATTAAGACTTCTTTGCAATCAACCTTCTTTTTCAAAATTTTACAAAATAATGTTCCTTTTGTAAATATTTTTTTAATCTTTTGATTTGGAGATATAGAGAACTGAAAGTGGTTTACATCTCTAGCATTCCCATGGAAGAGTTAAAAGAAGTGAAATTCTTTTTAGATTTTATGAGTTACTTAAAAACAACACCAAGAAAGATAATATTTACTTCTATCAAAAAATATTCTATTCTTTTTCCTATTTGTGAATCAGTTTAGAGGCTTCTATATTTCTGAAAACATCAATCTTATTTTTGGAATTTTCATAACATGAATGAACTTATAACAAGAAAAACAAGATTACATAATGTGATAGAATTTTACTTTAATCATACATTCTATAGGATCAATTAAAATGATCTGATGGTCATAATACTGAATTATTACAAATTAAAGAACTGTTATTTTTTAATATATTTATAGAAATATCTGGATCTTCACCCCTAGAAAAGAAAAATCCATGGTATTTAAATTCATTATTAAATACTGATAAAAGTAATCATGGTTACATGCAATAGTTAATTTTATTTCTATGAGAAAACATCATAACAAAGACACCTTAAGTAAGAGAGAGTTTATTTGGTTTATGGTTCCAGAGGTAAAAACTGGAAGTGTTAGTAGCTTTCTTAGTTCAAAGCTGTCCACCTGTGACTCACTTCCTCCAGTAAGGTTGTGTCACTTTCAAACATGCCACCAAGTTGAGACTAAGGTTCAGTGTCTGAGTTTATTTGCTATTCCTTCAAAATACATTATAGTTAAATAATAATTTTTTTAAAATATTTCATTTGGGTAATATTTTATTATTTTACATCTATATATCTATTAAATGTGAAAATGTGCTCAACTTCATTATTTATCAAGGAACTGGAAGTTAAAACAAAACAGATGAATGCCGTGTTTGTTTTGCTTTGTTTTATAGACAGGGTTTTTCTTTATAGTCCTGGCTGTCCTGGAACTCACTCTGTACACCAATCTAGCTTCAAACTCAGCGATCCCCTGCCTCTGCCTCATGAGTGCTAGGATTAAAGGCATATGCCACCATGTCCGGCTGTCATATGACACTTTAAACATGCCAGAATTGTAAGTAAAAAATGAGTTTCATTTGTTAGTAGTAAGATTGCATGTTGCTATTAGCTCTTTGAAAAGCCATGGCTAGGAATACCTAAATAATGTAGCCATTGTCTTAGCAAATTTATTGCTGTGAAGAAACACCAAGATCAAAAGAAACATGGGGAAGAAAGAGTCTATGTTAGCTTCAAATCCAGATCTCCATCCATCACAGAGTGAATTTAGGACAAGAACTTAACCCAGGATGTAAAATTTCAATCTGTTTAAAAGTTTAGTCTTTTTACAATATTCAGTGACTTTCCAAGGTCAAGCCTCCTTAAAATATTCCAAGTCTCTAAAATATCATTGTCTCTGTAATTTATCCATTATCTTTCCAAAATTTCAGTCTCTCCAAAACTCCAAATTCCTTTAACAATTTCAGAGTATCTTGACTGTAGATTTCTGTAAAATGAAAAGAAAAAATAAATACATATTTACTTATTTCAAGCAGGAAGAATCAGGACACTATCAGAAACAAATCAAAGCAAAACCAACATCCAACAGTGTAAACGTCAATGTCCAAATTTTGAGTTTGCTACATCCAGAGTCTTACATCAGCACTTCTTGAGCTCCACCATTTATAAGACATGCAGATTATCCCCTGGACTCAGGCTAGTTGTTCTCCATTGTCACAGGGCTTCACCTTCACCAATAGCTACCACTATTCTCTCATCTAGCCCTACCACATGGTACCAAGCCTCAACTTCTGTCTGTGACCAATCCCAGGGCTTCTCCTTCAATTAAAGCTCCATATTCACCAATGGTCTGCCCTGGCCTTCCACAGAGCCAAGCCTCAGCTGTTCTTTAAGACCTTTTCATGTCTTCAAAACCAGTACCACCTGGGAACCTCTATTACCAAGTCTGTCTGTCAGCACAAGGTAGAGCCTTGGCTGCCTCTGGGTCACAACTTCTTTGCATTGACCCTGAGGAAACACTGCCAGAAGATTTCACCTCAATGATATTGTTTATTGTAATAACTACTGAATTTTCAGCTTGGATGACCAGTATTAGTTTCTCTTTAATGGTTCTTAATTTAAAATATTTCTCAAATGTCCCTGATAGAGTCTTCCCTTCCTTCTGAAACTTCACAAGCCATTCTTCCATTATGTTGCTCCCAGCATTATCTTCTAAGCTTCAATAGAAAAGCACACTGAGCTCTGAGCACTCAATGGCTTTCCTAATGGAAAGTTCTGAATATCACAGTTCTCCCCAATACATGGCTACATCTACCACAAATAGTTTATCCATGACAGAAGTCAGGGTAGAAACTCAATGCAGTAACTTTGAGGTATTAAATGAAGCAGAGGCCATAGAGGAATTGCTTGCTTTCTAAGCCTTGCTAAACCTGCTTTCATACTCACCCCAGGAATAATTGCCTAGATGTGTACCATGCACAATGGCACAGCCTTCTCACATTGATCATTAAATACAAAAATACACTACAGAACAATCTGGTAACTGCATTTTCTCAATTGAGATCTCCCTATCCCAATGACTCCACCCAGTGTCAAATTGATATCAGTCTACTCAGCATATCTACACATTAAAACTCATCACCTTTATTATTAGCTATATCAGCAGAAAGACATGGGTATTTATAGTAAAAAAAAAATCAAATTAACATCCACAGGTTCTCTACAAAAAAATGTTCAAACACAGGAGCAACATTGCATTTTATCCAATATTCATCATTTTCAATAAATGAATAAATTTTTAAATAAATGATATTAATACAACCAAATACTGCAGAAAATATAATAATTTATGACCACTTATTTTACAGCTGTACTCATGAATACCAGAAAAATACAAAATTAAAATATTTTTATTATTCCACTTATATGAACACATTAGCAAGCAAATTATGAGAAATAAAATTATGAGATATGTTATGAGTTATGAGAAATATGAGTTATGAGAAATAAAAATTAGAATAAAAATTGTCTTTGACATGAAGTAAGTTGTAAATTGAGACAAGCTGGAAGGTTTGGAAGTATGCTAACCTTTCATTTCCTGATGTGGTTGTGGTTTTACAACTTCACCCTGAAGAGAAGGTAGTGAACTACTGGATGGATGATTTATCTACTGGTCTCTTATTCAGATGACAGTACAGAATAAAGTTTTACTAAAATACAAAAAGACAGCAAATTTGAAATATGAGATCCAGTCAAACTCTGACCTTTTATCTGAGATTAGGGGGTGATGAAGATTGGAAGGAAAATCTATTTCAAAGCTGAAGAAGGTAAGATGAAAAGAGACGATACCTATGGTCTAGTTAACAAGCAGCAGAAGATAGAAATGCAAGGAAAGCAAATAGTGATGGGATGCTTAAGAAACTCTTTTTTTTTTTTAAGAAATCTTATTTGTTTGTTTGTTTGTTTTACATCCTGACTGGAGATCCCCCTGTCTTCTCCTCTCAGTCCCTCTCCCCTCTTTTCTTACCCCCCCCAATCCACTCCTCTTCCATTTATGTTCAGAAAAGGGAAGGTATCCCATGGGTATCAACAAAACATGGCATATTAAGTTGCAGTAAGAGAAGAACATCCACATATATTAAAGCTGGGCAAGGTGACCCAGTATGAGGTGTAGGGTCCCAAAAGCTAGTAAAAGAGTCAGAGACAGCCCCTGCTAACACTGTTAGAAGTCCCACAAGAAGACCAAGCTGCCCAACTGTAACATGCATGCAGAGGGCTTAGGTCAGTCCCATGCAAGCTCTCTGGTTATTGTTTCACTCTCTGTGAACCCCTATCATCCCAGGACAGTTGATCCTGTGGGTTTCCCTTTTGTGTCCTTGGCCCCTCTGGCTTCTAGAATCCTTTCTCCCCCTTTTCTGCAGGATTCCCTGAGCTCTGCCAAATGTTTGGCTGTGGGTTTGTGTCTGTCTCCATCAGTTGCTAGATGAAGCCTCTCATGACAATAAGGGTAGCCAACAATCTATGAGTTCTGTAGATTATCCTTAGACATCATTACACTGACATTTTTCCCTTCAATCACTTTAGTTCTATTCTAGGTCTCTGGGTAATCCAGCCTATGGGTCCTAGTGTGTCAGGGGTGGGCTTATTCCCCTGCATGGGTTTTAGAATAGACTGGCCACTGTTTGCCACCCCCTCAGTTTCTAGGTCACCCTTATTCCAGCACATCCCATAGGTAGGACAGGCTGTTCAGAGCGTGAAGGACTGTAAACTAGCAAAGGGAATTGCCAGCAGTTTTATAAATGAAAGCATGTCCAGCTATTTAAAAATTGACTTCTAATTTGATGTCCATAATATTTTTTCTCAGAGAATAGTCAGACTGTTTATACAGATGAAAGTCTTTCAGCAATTAATTAAACTATGATTGAAGAAGACTGAATGACTAGAGATGAATTAGTCACCATGTTTTTTTCACAAAAAGAATGGTACAAGCTAGTTGATTCTGTGACTCACGGATCTTACACCCATCTGAATGGCTAAGATAAAAAACACTGAAGACAGCTCATGCTGAAGAGGATGTGTAGAAAGGGGAGCACTCCTACATTGTTGGTGGGAAGGTAAACTTGTATAACCACTTTGGAAATCGACATGGCGATTTCTTAGAAAATTGAGAATCAGTCTCCCTCAAGACCCAGCTATAACACTCTTGGGCATATACCCAAGAAATGCTCAATCATACCACAAGGACACATAGGGTGATATTTTATTTGTACTGAAATGTGATTTTATTTGTATGTTAATAAATAAAGTTACCCAGGGGTCAGAGCTATTACAAGCCATAGCGAAAGCCGGGCTGTGGTGGCACATGCCTCTAATCCCAGCACTTGGTAGGCAGAGCTAGGTAGATCTCTGTGTGTTCAAGGATACAGCCAGCATTGGAGACACATGCCTTTAATCTCAATACCAACCATAGAAGACCTGGAGGTCTTTACAGACAGGCAGTGATGAGGCAATCATGTGGTTGGGTTTACAATCAATGAGAAGGCAGAACAGAAAGTCTATATAAAGACAAAAAAAACACAGGAAGTAGGACTCTTGGCTGAAGAGGCTAGCTGCAGCAGATGGGTAAGACTCTTAGTTCTGATCTCTTGGCTTTCTTCTTTGCATTGGTTCTGTGTTTCTTATTTAATAAGACGGTTGGTCACATCTACAGACACATGCTCAATTATGTTCATAGCAGCATTATGTGTAATAGCCAGAACCTGGAAACAACCTAGATGCCCTTCAACTGAAGAATGGATAACTAAAATGTGGTACATATACACAATGGAGACATTGGTACAATGGTACATATACACTACTCAGCAGAGAAAAACAATAACATTATGAGGTTTGCAGGCAAATGGATAGAACTAAAAAAGAAAAATCATCCTGAGTGAGGTAACCCAGACTCAGAAAGATAAACATGGTATGTACTCACTCATAAGTGGATACTAGATGTAAAGCAAAGGATAACCAGACTGCAAATCACAACTCCATGGAAGATAACCAATAAAGAGGACACTAAGAAAGACACAGGGATCACTCAACGACAGAGAAATGGATGAGATCTATATGAGCAAACTGGACATGAGGGGCAGTAATGGAGGGCTTAGGGGAACGGGAGGTCCCAGCTGGATCAGGAACAGGGTGGGAGAACAAGGAAAGAGATACCATGATAATGAAGACCCCATGGGGATAGGAAGAAGCAGAGGTCCCCAGAAATCCACAGATACCTCCGTAATAGATTACTGACAATGGTCAGGAAAAAGCCCAAATTGACCTACTTTGGTGATCGGATGGCAAACACCCTAACTGTCATGGTAGAACTCTTATCCAATGACTGATGGAAGCAGATGCAGAGATCCATGGCCAAGTCCCAGGCAGAACTCCAAGAGTCCAATCAGAGAGAGAGAGAGAGGAGGGATTATATGAGCAAGAAATGTTGAGACCGCGATTGGAAAAATTACAGGGACAAATAGTCAAACTAAAGGAAACACATGAACTATGAACCAATAGCTGAGGAGCCCCCATGGAACTGGGTCAGGCCCTCTGGATAAGTGAGGCAGTTGATTAGCTTCAACTATTTAGGAGGCCCCCAGGCAGTAGGACCAGGAACTGTCCTTAGTGCATAGGCTGGCTTTTTGGACCCTAGGGCCTATGCTGGGAAACTTTGCTCAGCCTAGGTGAAGGGAGGAGGGGACTGGACCTGCCTCAACTGAATGTACCAGGCTGGGCTGAATCCCCAGGGGAGTGCTTGCCTTGGAGGAGGTAGGAATGGGGGGGTGGATTAGGAGGAGGGCGGCGTGGGTGTGGGAGGAGGGAAGACAGGGAATCTGTGACTGATATGTAAAATTAAATTAATTATGAAATAAAAAAAGAAAATACTAGCCACATAGAAAACAGTTCCCTGATGGCTTCACTCAAACAATAGCCTCCTGTTAGCTATTAAATTTTTGTGACCAAATTTATGACTTTATGAAGCAAGTTTTTTTTTTTTGTTTGTTTGTTTTGTTCTTTTGTTTTATGGTGGTAAAAACTGAGCCATCAGTGAATTTTCACATCTTTCTCACATTTTTTACTTTGCTTAATCTGAAGACCCAGCCCAAGGGAAGATGATGTCCAAATTCATGGTGGACTTTCGTTTATTAACTTTGTTTCTGTGGAAAATATCTTTCAAAGAGTTGCTTACCAGGTGGTTCTCAGTCCAGTTACATATATCACAATCTTCTTTATAATCATATTCCTGAAATATATTCGGATTCTGACACTTAAATATGTTAGAAAATGTAACATGATCACTTAAATTAGAACATATTATATTTATTACTATTAAATTGTTTATAAAAGTTCTCATTCTTACTATCAGTCATTGTGCTTCTTAGATTAATATACTGAATGTCATAATTTTTTATAAAACAAATTTTAATCAATGTTATTACTTGAATAGTTATTGTATATGTGGTAGAGCTGTGTCATAACAATAGTGAGGATTCTTATTTAATAGGAAAACTCCAACTAATCAAAACATATTATGCCAAATATCAGCATATGTTCCTACATTAATGTCATAATAATTTGTTTTAAATTCTTAATTGATACACACCCTCTTCTTACAGTATCTCTTGTAAGAATGGTATTACACTTACATATAGTTTACACAATATTAGATGATACATTTAAATGAATATGTGCTTTTTTAGTGTGATGAACACTAGAAAACAATACCCAACTACTGTTGTGTGCATTCCAGCTCTAAAAGGCGTGAAATTATTGCAAAGTACATATTACACTTTGCAAATATTTTAGGTTTTATCTCTAACTCTATGATGGTTTTTGACACAGTGACTACTGGCTGTGCAGAGAATGTTGTCAGCTGCAGACTGTTGCCACTGCTGTCAGATTTCCAAACTGGAAATATATTGGGTAATACTCTCACTGGGATCCATGGATATTCCCAAATTAATCATGGAAAAAGTGGCACCAGGAACAGGACACAGGAGCTTGTGTCTGTAAAGGACCCATTCCACACAATCCAATGTCCTCTTGGCTGAGCAGTTTTGTATAGCTATAAATAAGTTGGAGAGACTTTGAAATAAGTATATACAACATGTATTACTAAAATCATTGTATCAGATATCACTGTCGAGAGATAAAGATATGTATTTTACCATCATGTCAACATGAATCAATTCAATATAAGGTTTCAAATGAGGAGAAGTGCATTTTCTTCAAATCACATCAATTCAGAATGAACAGTAGATCACATTACAAAGAAAAAATGCAAAGTTCCAATAAGAATAAATTTGTTATTTAAATTGACAGAGTTTTTTTTTCCTGAGAAATATGATAAAATCTATTACCTTTGGCTGTTCAGCTACACTTAGCTGCTTCAGTCACCACAGATTTATCAACATTATACATAATCATAAAACAAGAGGAAGTGGCATAATAAGCAGGCAATGAACTCCCTTGACTCTTGGAGAGAACCCAGAGCATCCTATATCAAACAGCATCAAATCTTTTAAACACTGAAGCAAACAAATAAAACCTACTGCCTCCACTTTCACTTAAACAAAAATATAATTAAGGGAATCAATCAAATGGGATTAATATCAGTGAATATAATTGTATGAGAAAAAATCAATGTAGGAATGATGAATTTCATAGCTGAGCTATTATTATATATGTGCATTTATTATGTGCTTATTCTTGTAAATAAAACACATTAAATGTGTTAAAAAGTTGATTTTCTTGTTTTATTTGATTATGATATATTTGACACAGTACCATCTTAAGCTGTCTCAATAACATAATTTGCCTCATGTCTTTTTTTTTATCATTGACTACTAATATATTTTGAAGTTGTAGTCTCTTTGTTTATAATTAATCTACTAGTGACATAATTTGAGCCACAACTCTAACTGAATAGAAGAAGACATTGATGACTGGACCTCAGAATGGTATAGTTTCACACCAAAGGTTCAAGTGCAAAATTATTTTCTCATTCACTCTTATTCCTGGTGAAGGAGTTTCAGGTAGGAAAAAATATTTTTGATAGTCAATTTTGTTTAACTCAATGAAGTACTTACTTGTTACTCACAAAATATTTCACAGAATTACAGGCCACTTGTGTGTATCCTATCGATTTATTTAAGTTTTATATTTTGGCTTCTAGGATACTTCACAGGGGTTAAATAATGCATTCTATATTATATAGTCATAAATGCAGTTATATCTTTTTGAGTTTGGGAGATAGATATCATCTTAGTATGGTACCATCCTTTTTCTTTTTTTTAATTGTAATTTCATTTTATAATTAATTATATTTTACATATCAGCCATGGGTTTCCCTGTCCTCCCTCCTCCCATCCCCCAGCCTTCACTCCAAATCCACCCCCCATTCCCACCTCCTCCAAGGCAAGGACTCCCCTGAGAATTCAGCTAGGCCTGGTAGATTCAGTTGAGGCAGGTCCAGTCCCCTCCTACCTACCTACCCAAGGCTGAGCAAAATGTCTCAGCACAGGCCCTAGGATCCAAAAAGCCAGCTCATGCACTAAGGACAGGTCCCAGTCCCACTGCCTGGGGGCCTCTTTAATAGTTCAAGTTAATCAACTGTCTCACTTATCCAGAGGGCCTGATCAAGTTCCATGGGGGCTCCTCACTTATTGGTTCATAGTTCATGTGTTTCCACTAGTTTGGCTATTTGTCCCTGTGCTTTTTCCAATCATGGTCTTAACATTTCTTGCTCATATAGTCCCTCCTCTCTCTCTCTCCGATTGGACTCCTGGAGCTCCACCTGGGGCTTGGCCATGGATCTCTGCATCTGCTTTCATCAGTCACTGGATGAGAGTTCTATCATGATAGTTAGGATGTTCGGCCATCCAATCACCAGAGTAGGTCAGCTTGGGCTTTCTCTCGACCATTGCCAATGGTTTATTGTGGAGCTATCTTTGTGGAATTCTGGGGACCACTCTAGCACTTTGCCTCTTCCTATTCCCATAGGGTCTTCAATTATCATGGTATCTCTTTCCTTGGCTAGTATTTTCTAATGTGAAAGAATTTACAAAGATGCTGTCCCCAAGCTAATAAGTGAAATCCAAAAAAGTCCTGTATAGTCTTAGACATCCTCAACACTTTTGAGAAGGACTTGCTGTCTTCAAGAGCTGAATCCATATTTCTCTTTTTTTAAGATCCTCACTCTAAGGTACTTTGTTATAGCTTCTCTAACATATCTAATCCATGTGTAAACAGTGGTAAAAGATCATGTTCAGGAATATTATTAAAAGGGAAGTATAATTTTAATTCAAAACATAGCTCACTTATGAATTCAAGTACCTGTTTGCAAACAATATCAATGAAAATAAAAATTAAAATTAATGAATACAATTTTGCATCAAATCTAAGAAGTTATTGTTGGGTGTACTAGCAATATTAAGAAAAGTCGTTAATAAATTATTCCAATGATTTCAATCAATGGAGAATACCAATATGTTCAGTTTATTTTTGACTAATAAAAATATCTGGCTAGACTGCAACTGAAATGAACATCTAGAAGAATAAAAACAACATCAAAGTAAAAAATAACACTTAGTCTTAAGGCAAACACAAGTCAATTTCATAGTCCATGAAAAGAAATCCCAAAGTACTAGACTGATCTCACATGTAAATAGGATGTTGAAATTAGAATCACAGAGAATCAAAATGGGCTACTTTTTTCTCCCAACCCCATGGGGCTCTCACATAGCTCATTCTGTCCACTTAATTGAATTATTGAATCAATCCATACTTAATGAAGTGGTATGTATATCTCCTTGTCTATTCCTTTTCCTGTACATCATTTTCTTCCATTGGAGAAACTGAGGTTTCTCTGAAACTGAAAATTCCTTTGTATACAAAATATACACTTCAATTTTAATATGCTATTCCTCTGGAAATAATTGATGTTTAGGAATTTGAATCCTTTAGAGGTTAATGCAGTATTCACCAACCACTAAACCTCTGATAACCAAGAAAAGAACCTTGTTGGGAATAAAAGTACCATAGAGAGAACAAAGTTAACTAAGTTGTTGTTACTTGCAGCACATAAGTAATTCTGTCATTGCTGTCTCAACTGTGAACTCAGGCTTACCAGTCATACTTTTTATAAAGTAAGTGAAGCCAACTTGAACACATATCACTCATTAGTTTGATTATAACACTTTTCTCGATGTGTGAAATTTTCAAGTTGTGTTAACTAGAGAAACCATCCTCATTGAAAGTATATGTGCTGCAGTGAGTGTTCAGTTTGGACTGCATAGAAAATGAAAGCAATGTAGGTACATATAGCTAGTGAAAATGTTAAGATTTTTTAATTTATGTACTTTTTTACAAGTCATCATTTGTACAATCAAACCATTACTGGTTAATTATTCATTTTGTTTTTGGTTCTTACAATTTGTTTACTGAGAAATATATTTTTAGCATATAAATGAAATTAAATCAAAACATTAGACATTTGGAGAAATACAAATAATGGAAGACTTTTTTCTGTGTATTTTTTTTGGCTTCGTGAAAAAAAAACTGTGTGTGTGTGTGTGTGTGTGTGTGTGTGTGTGTGTGTGCATGTTTGTATATCAATATATATTGGTACAAGGTATGATATTTAAAAATTAAATCAAAGATCTGGTGATTTTACCAGGCTGAGAAAGATGTTAAAAATTTTTAGCTAATTTTTTGGTGAGAATTTCTATTATGAGACTGTATTTAAAGCACTGAGGTCATGTTATAAGAAACATTTAAAGGTCAGATGGACCAACTTTTGTAATTGAGAGAGGTTCTGAAAATTGAACTAGCTCAAGTTTTCTTTTGTCCTCAAATGTCTGAAATCAGTACAAATCTGTGCTTTATCTTAATCCCATTTATCTTGTTAAGCAAAAGTGTAGATCTTTACCTCACATTTAAACTTGACAAAGTCTGACATGATAATCTAATGGGTCCACTTAGATATAAAAAAAATCTCTTCTCTCCTGCTCTCCTCAAGATTATCTATGTTAATGACTTTTATAATTTGAATTGCATCTGGTCTTGAAGTATTTATTGTGTTTATCTTGCATATTTTTTCCATCTTACTAAAGTTGGTTCCTCATTTCTCTTCTAAGGATGTATTTTATCCAGTATTTCTTTAATTATTTCCCCCTTTCCATCTGTCTCTTCTTATAGGACTCAAATTTATGTATTGACGTCTGGGATATTGGTACATAGGGTCCTTGTGATGAACTTTTTTTCAATTTGTTCTTTTTTGTTTTACTTTAGTTGACTAATTTAATCTACCTTTAAAGTTAGTAAATGTTTTCTGTGTGAATATGTATACTGAAGTAAAAGCAATTATCTTCTATAAATTCTGTTGGGAAAGTGTTATGTGCATCTTCTGGCCAATGAATGAAATTAAATGCTTTTTTTCATCATATACAAAAAATTAGACATGTAAAATTTCAAGTGAAAATGAAGGAGGAAATAGCTTTAGGATACATTTTTTGCTTGTTTATTTGTTTTGCTTGTTTATTTTGAGACAGGTTTTCTCTGTGTAGCCCTGGCTGTCCTGGAACTTGCACAGTAGGGAACCCCAACCCCTGAACTCACAGAGATTCTCCTGCCTCTTCCTCCCGAGTGTTAGGATTAAAGGTGTGCACCACTACCATCCAGCTTAGCATGTATCTATCATATTTATATGTTACCCATAGGTTAGCCAAAAGATTCAAAAATAAAATGGGGCACACATGAACTTAATACATTCTTTACTACAATCAATAAAAATATAAAAAATGTGAATGATTTAGTTTTAGAAAATATTTTAAATAACATACTTATAAATGGCTACTGTCTAAAATATCAGCACCTTACATAACTCAAAGCAAATAGGTATCAAGAGAACCACAAACAACTCAGTTAGCTGATCTTAGGGCTTGAGTAGACATTTTCACCCATAATAAATATAAATAGTAGGCAGATATATGAAAGGTACCCAACATCACTGATTAAAAATGAACTAGAAAAACAAAAATTAAAATATTATCTCACACCTGTTAAAATGACTCTTGACAAAAATACAAGTAACAAAGAATGTTCACAAGAATGTAAAGAAAGATAGTGTTCCTACATACTGTTGATGGGACTATCAAATGGCATGATTATTTCAGGGTACCTTATAAAATTATTTCACAACTCTAAAACTATGTATAAAATCAGTCACGTTAGCAACCCTACTACTGGAAGTGTATCTAAAGAAATAAAATCTACACCTGACAAAAAAAGTTAACACTTGTATTTACTTCATTATTAGTTGCAATAAGAAATTCATGAAAAAAATATCATGTCCATAGGATGAATGAATAAATAAAATATTATAAATACAGAAGGAAGTAGAAAGTTTTCTCTTACTTGTAAATACATGGATGAATCTAGAGGCCAGCCTACTAAATGACTAAAGACAGGGTAGGAGGGAATAAGCCATGTCTGCCTCCATACGTATAATTTCCACACCTTTTACTAGAAGAAACAGAGAGCAGAAATACAAAGTTGATTTGCAAGGATTATACTACAGGAACCAAAACCTGTTTGAAAAATTATAAAGTCATATCTGGTGTGTAATATGAGTGGTAATGGATCCACCAATTACTTCAACTGTGGCATTTACTCTGAAATATGTACATAAATAAAACCATTGTTTTACATTCCTTGGAAAAAAACTCTTTCTCTGAAAATTTTATATTCTTAAATTTGAAAAAAAAATAATAAAATGGAATAGGACTGAAGTTGAAGTAGTTGCAAACCAAGAATAAAAATGAATCTGGTGCTTCTCTTTCTATATTCTTGGAACACATCAACCACTTGACTAAACCCTTGTGATCTAAGAGAAACTAAGAATTTTAAGACTATGAAATTCCTCCTTTTGAGGCCATCAGAAATTGTGTGAACTATTAGATATTACTTTAACTATAGGAATATAAAGGATCCAGTGGAGGCCAGAGATCATCCACCTGCTAAGCTCAACATGAACTGACATTATAAAGTATTGTGACTAAATCTGTGGTTCATCTTTTCATGCCCAAATGTTTAAGAAATATTTGTTCTGTGTTAGATGCTAAGAGACAGAAACATTGGTACCATACATAGGGCCCCATCATTAGAAAAATACACAGCATGTGGAATTGTTGTCTTTGATAATAAATTATGAACAGAAACTTAAAAACAACAGAAAATACCTGAGTAAAGTTATCAGGCTGAGGCTCACTCAGACCAGAGCATTTGGCCAGCAGGTGTCAAGTTCTGATTTGATCTTTAGCCCTGCAAAAACAAATCAGAACACCATGACTACTAGCAGAATTAACTGCCAGTTAACTCTAGAAAAACAGTTTGAAATCAATGAACAGCTAGTAAATTCTGAAAATATTTAGAAAATAGCTGAAGCAAAGAGATAAATGTTTACCCCTAAAGCTTTAAATTGGTGTTGGCAAAAATGAACAAACTTTGTTGTGTTTGAAAATACACTAATTTGGTATTCATCTTGGTGGAAATGGAAGCTCCACATTCCATTTCTCCAGGTAAACACTAAAAGAGAAACAGAATATGTCACCTTGAACTTTTTCAGAATTCTGGAAAGCAACCATCATTTTGCTTCATAAGCGTGAACACAAAATCAATAATAAAAAAAAATGAAAATGAGCATGAGCTTGGCTGATGCTTTAGTGTCTCTTGGTTCACCCGAGTTTCCTCTCTGTCACATCTCTGCCCGTGCTAGCATAGGCTAGAATTCCCAGAACAGAACCTCTAAGTCTCGTTCCACAGGGAGCAAAACAGACCTAATTCACATGTATGTCTGTTAATTTACCCCTCCCCTGGATATTTATATCTGATATTTATTACCTGATACACCTCTATAGTATGTCCACCTAGGAACTTAATCATGAAAAAAAAAAAAAAGAGATAGGTATTTTCTGAAAATGTGGAAAGACAACAAATAATCTCCAGGTGCCAGGGACAAAAGAGTATAGTTGAGACCTGTAAGAGAGTCTAAGGTGCACAAGAAACCATGATGTGATACTTCATTTCAGAAACCACAACTTTCAAAGGTATTGCTGTGTACTGTGACATTGGCATTATTAAGGAGGTGTTCTGCTAATAGAGTATTCACAGAAAGCAACTACCATAACCCAACGACAAACATGAATGTAGAGGACATGGGAAATAGCAGACATTCAGTGACCCCTGAAAACTCTCTATTAAGGAAGACTAAATACACAGGAACAGATTCTAATAAAGTCCATCTAATCAGGCAGTTAACACAAACATCTATATCATACCCCCCTCCAAATTTTAAGGATCATCACAGGAGAAGGGGTGAAAAGATTTAAATAGCTAGTGGTAGTGAATTACTGTTGCAAAACGGTTTTCTGGACATAAAAGTGACAATACATATATGGATTCATAGAAACAATGTCGTTATGTGCAAGATCTGAACATGATCAAGCCAATCATAATAACAGCATGGATGGGGAAGGATGGGGAAGAGATTCATGAAGTCCTATCCCTAGTTGAGGAGCTGTTTGATGCTGGTGCGGAAAGTATTTTTCTTTCTTTCTTCCTTTTTTACGTGACCCTTCATCTACATACATTCTGGCAGCATTAAGGAAACTCAGTTAGCTTTTAAAAAAAAGAGGATATGAAGTTGGGAGAGAAAAGATTGAAGTTTTGATAAAGAATGACATGGGTATAGTATATCTTTAAGTAATAGATACTGTGCATAGATAATTTAGACTACCTCCATATTTCAAAAAAATAGAATTATTGTTAAATTCTTTTTTTTCCTTTTATTTTATTTTACAATACCATTCAGTTCTACATATCAGCCATGGATTCCCTTGTTCTGCCCCCTCCTGTGCCCCTCTCCT